AATCAAGACCATCTGAAGTCATAATTTATTTTTGAACAATGGAGAAATTAGCACCAGCAAAGAATTTATAAGCCGTTCGGGTAACGCATATATTGGCTAAGATTTACAGAGAGGGGATTCCGTCAACAAGGCGTCAATTGAGCTAACGACTTATATATCACAAGACATCCCAATTATGGATTTATAATACTTCTAAGTTATAACATGTCATAACAATGAATCCATTATTAGAAATGGTTTTTGCGTTTAAAGTTTTATAAGTATTGATAATATTTTATTACTATACATGATAATTCCTTTGTGAAATTTCGAGTTGATAATAGATCTTTGAAAGCCACTGTTAAATTTATTTACAACTAAGACTGGCCGATAGAAAGCTTAACATAGAGATTTGTCCACCGTTGAAGACCGTATGTTGACTTCTTGGCCATAGATGTCTTTCTGTGCCACTGTTTTGCTGTCTTGTGACGTATAACCCGCATCTCCTTTTATTATTTTTTATGCTTTGAATTTAATTACTGAATCTTAGGCGTAAGAAAACGGTTACTATTTTCAAATTTTACTGTTAAAACGGGACTAAGAAAACATTTTGTTTTTTACTTTGAATCCTTTTTTCGAAAATTTAAAAAAAAAAAAAAAAAAATATGAGATGAAAACTTATATGATAATCTGCTCGCGTACATAATGCTTAACATGGCAGTTTTGGAAAATATTCATACCTATGATAAAATACTTGGAGTATATTTAAAAAGTTAATAAATTAGAATGTTCATTTGAGCAAATGTTTTTCTTAGATAATAGTTGTAGTTTTCTGCCATACATTTGCTACATAGGGATGTTTATCTCTGATTTAAATAGGAAAATAACAATAACAAGGACACTTGAGGTTTCCTATAGTTCAAATGTATTCAAATGCTTACAAAAACCTATGATACTAGCAGTCATATGAACAATCTACATCTACTTAAAAAAAAAAAACAACCAAAAAAAACAACCAAAAACCACAACAATATAGGATATGTAATTTCCTGCTTTCCATTTACATGTACATGTATACGATGCAAACAAAAAATCTATATTTTTTTATTTAATACTACAAAAAAAAGGCAGAAATATAACTTTAACTAAATATCTTTTTCTGCGTACTTGGTTTTGAATACAACACTAATGACTATTCTCATATTATGAAATTCCATGGACTAAGTATAAACCTTATAGCTGTGTTAAGAAGATACATTAACATTGTCCCAGACAGAGAGGCTGTGAATATTTAACAAAGAGACCGAACTGTTGATCATGTTCATAAACTAACCTAGGAGAATGTCATAAAGTAACCAGCGACTCCATTTTCCTGTTCTGAAATTCATAGTAGTCACCTGAGTTTACCAATAATTGTGTTTTAAAGGGAATCATGTTGCTGATGCATCAATTTTTTCTGTTATGTTTTGTACAATTTTTTAAATGTAAAGCTTTTACTGTTTTTGCTTGATAGTGTTTTAATTCGTTTTTGAAATAAAGTTAACCACAAAGTGATTAGTTATCAGATGAAAACTTATTTTGCCCCTCATTTTGCAGATTTTTTTACAGCTATGAAGCACAGTTTTTGAAACACGTCATAAAGACCCAACGAAAAGGTGCTTGATACATATACCTACAGATATTTAGACACTGTTAACCATGTTCGAATATAAAAATAAAAGTTGTATCCCCTTTTCTCGTTCTTATCAAAGCAAATATAAATGGTGAACGATGTCTTCTTTGAAACTTAATCTTATATTTTATCATTTTTTATTCATAGAAAACATTATGAATTAAGGTACGATTTCAACTTTCCTAATGCTAATTGCCCTTTTCATGGTGGAAATGGTAATATTTCGTTGGTTTCTCCTTGTTAAGTATAAATTTTAAAATATGTTACTTCAATATGCACCAGTTTGGCAGAATTTCAGTAAAAGTAAAGATTTATTGCTGAAACGTTTTTAAAATAGGCTATAAATTGGCAACAATTTTTTAACGAATTATATCACAGATAAGAAATGTATTGTAGAAGTATGAATCCACATACTGGAATTTAATAAAACATAGTATTTTGCATACATATTTGTGTGGTGATTTTTTGTTTTTATTAGACTAAAACACTTATTTACAAAGGTTAGAACTTTACTGCTGATTTATTAATCACTTTGGCTGATATATGTTAAGGAGATGCATATCAATTCACTGATAAAAAATTACATGGATATTTGACAGGTTAATCTAGTGGTTTTACATCGCAACACTCACAATCGCTACCAGTGAATTAAAGAATATTGTAGAGTAAGGTGCTTATAACATACTTTTTTATGTTCCATTTTTTTTCAATATATTTTTCTTTAAATGACTGGTCGAGATTAAAAAGGTGAGTGTTGAGATGAAAAACCACTAGATTAACCTGCCATTGACTATGCGGTATATGCTTTGCTCTTTGTTGAAGGCCGTACGATGACCTATAGCTGTTAATTTCTGTGTCATTTGGTCTCTTGTGAAGAGATGTCTCATTGGCAATCACACCACATCTTCTTTTATATATATGTACATGTCCCAAGTCAGAAACCCTGTGATCATCGTTAAGTGGTTGTCTTATGTCATATCGTAATTTTCAATGTAGGATTCAAATTCAGATCAAAATAATATTGTTGTAGACCTGAACATGTTAATGAATTGGATCCTCATCCTCATCCTAAATCATCATCATCGTAACCATTTACATTTAGTCTATCATGTAATAGTACTTTTATTTTGACGTTATGATCACATTGCAGTCCGAAGAAATGCACATGCAAATCAAGACTCGTTTAGTACAAAAATGTAGGACTAGTGTATAATTCAGTCTTCAGACTTCATGAAATATTTTTCTGATAGTCGTTAACCTTTATGAATGGATAAGCGGAAATGTTGGGTATAGGTTGATGTCGAATCAATAAGCGTTGGTAGCGTGCTTGCCTAACATATGGGGTGGAGACGTTGGTTTCGATTCAAAGCCTCGTCATATATGAAATACTTTTGTTATTCATTTCTTCTCTGTCAACTGCGGTATTTAGGAGTGAGAGCCCGTCTTACAGTGGACTGTCTGCATGTGAGTTAGCATCATTTAAAAAAATTGGTAAAGCGAAACAAAATATCTTCATATCAAATAAGCAATAGCGCGTCCTTGGTATGAATGCAACAAATACTAGAATATGTTAAGTACACGCCGATTAATTAAACAGAAAAGGTTGCACATCAAAAAAGGTCTTGTAAATGTATTTCTGAATGTATAATTATGTGTCTATCCCATTCAGGATATCTGGACCTTGTGTTGTTTGTTGTTGTTTTTCATTGTTTGAACCTCTATGTTCGAGTGTTGATGGTCCATGTGGTCGGTTGTACTGTCCAATACTTTTTGTGACTCCGTTATCCTTTGCATGTACTACATACCAATTTACAAAGTTGTGTTATATGATTAAACAGTAATTTGCTGGAAGCAGTCTGCAGTTTTGACAGGAACAATGCAAAATATGATTGTCTGCCACTTTCGACCATTAAAAAAAACTATACAAGTTTTGTTAATCGTTCAATGTTTAAATGATTAAAATGATTGTTTTTTCATTACAAGAAAGGTGCATCTTAACGGAATAAATCTTGAAAGTAAGAAATATTAGTTAAAGTTAGAGAAAGGCTCATATAGGTGTAAACGTTTTAGACAGAGATTTTAGAAAGCCATCAAAAGTTGGTTTAAAGTAAACGTTTTCATTGAGAACAATTATGCTATATGGGAACGAAACGTTACAGAGACTATGAATGCTGCAACAAAACTCCGTTGGCATGCTTCAGAAAGAAAAAATCTTCATGAGAAAAATCAGTAGGAATACATAATTTTAGAAATCATCGTAATCTGATTATTTAATTCAAATGCTGTGACTAGAAACTGGTGATTACAGTATTACTGCTTGTCCCTCCTCGTAACAGGAATGTATAATTAAAAGTATGAAAATAAGTTTTTTTTTTGTGACTAAAAGTATTGTTTCAAAACCCATTATGATCAATCGATCATCTAGATCAAAAGTTATATAAAAACCATTGAATATAAAAATGATTAACGACGTAATTGTCTGTGGTTACATAAAATTAAAAAGACGTTACAGCTGTTTCCTTACAAGAAAAATGATGTGGGCAGATAATAAATGTTTGGGTCAAAATAATTTTGAATATTCAGATGGAGAAAAATCTCATCAGTCAATTGGTTACATGCAAGAAAAAGTAAGAAGAGCTAGTGATCATTAAGCATTGATATCGTGGAGATGATATATATATATGTATATCGGGGTTTCGAGAAAACTAGTTGAAAATAGAAAAGTCAGTGATAATTTAGATATTAATCATCAAATCCTAACACGCAAAAATATTTGGCATTATTATTACCACTTGGCATAAAACAAAACTACGCTTTTAAATTAAATGCAAGGACCAACCACAATTTTCGTTTTCCTTTTCAGCATATAAATAATATACTTATAGAAAAAACTATACGACTAAACATTGTTTCAACTTCGTATGAAAGATAGGTACAATTAAAAATTACTTCTGTCATTTAATTGAAACTAAATGGATAGGTGAAAAGTTATTAAATTTTAGCATAATTTTTCAGCTTGTCTTTGATTACATTCATCTAAATTATGATTCAATAACGTGACGACAACTGGAACACTATCGGAACAATTAAACATCGATAAAAGTTCAAGAAGGATCAACAAAAAGCAATCCATGCGCGTATGTGAATAGCACAGATAACAAAATTTGCACAATACTATTAATAAGATAAACTGTTTAATGTTTAGATAATGTTTTCTCAATTCAATTAGAAATATTCAGATTGTGGATTGAATTGAAATACTTTGTAAATGTTTTCTAAAACAGTTTGTTTACAAAGTTTATCGCAAAGATTAACATCTATTTATTAATCTATGTTTTAATTTAAATTCAGGTTGGTTATTTAGTTTTCTTCGAATCTCAAAACGTACAACATGAAGACAACAATCTTATTAGCCATTGTAGTGGCAGTTTTGGTGAGAGGTAAATTCTCTAATTTCCTTTTATCTGTGTGCAACATTGTTTTAAAAAAATAAAGGGGAAATAACGTTAAATGTTTAGAAATAATTTTTTTTCTTCAGTTATTCAGATATATTTTAACAAACTTTTTACAGAAACATCATAATTTATTATCAAATAAAAAAACCAGCAAAAATGCCTCATTTTAATTTTTTTTTAAAATTTACATTGAAGTTAAGAAAGTTCAATCAAGGGACTATACAGAGTACTACTGTAGTAAGTTGTGTGCTGGATGCAGAGGTTATACATACCAACCATTAAGTCCCGGAAGAATTTGCGTATGCCTTAATTGTAGCAGCGTTAAGTCTCAACCTTCACTTTATGGAGATGCTAGAAATATAAACGAAAAAGATACAATCTAATGTAAGTATTTGATTCTAGATTGTATTGCACAATATCAAATTTTTAAAAATATTTACAAAATGTATAAGTATATTAACCAACTTTATATATAAGATATATAAGCATTTTTAATAGGCATCTCTTTTATACAAAAAAAAAAAGATGCGGAAGATACCAAATGGGCATTCAAACTCACAACTCGACTACAAAAAACAAAAAACGACCAAAAGACAAACATCAGTTTAGACACTTACAAAACACAACATAAACAACCGAATCCCACTACAAACGGGGGTAATCTCAGGTGATTCGAAATTGTAAGCTGATCCTGCTGTACTTTTGGCACCCGTCATGTTGCTCATGTTAGAACTCGGTTATAAGTCTAATTAGGTTATGCCACATTAATAGAAAGGAGGACGCGGTTGTGGTTACGCGATTTGAACATATCCGTCGTCATCTGTGAAACAGATATTCAATAACGGACAACAAACTAGTGATGGCGTCTGTAAAATTTTCGATGGGATGACTTCAACTTTATCACTTGAACCATTGGTTTATTAGATTCTGTATATCCGAGGTTCATTTCTGTAAGCTTTAATCCTCTATAAAAATCATGATAGAAAATGCATATTCTGGAATATTGTATCAATTGGGCGATTCATAAATCATATGAAGGCGCTGTTGGAATGTTCTTACATAGAAATGGAAAGCTTAAATGATCTCTATGGTCGTTAAGTTTTGTTCTCAACTGATTCTCATTGTCAGTTTCTAGATGTAAGTCAAGATATAAAGGCAGGCTTGTATGTATGTGTTGTATTTATTCGAAGTTTAATGGGATAGATTGAATATGAAATAGGAAAAAATTAATTCTATCTCAACATATGATTGGTAAAATACAATATGAAATTTAGAATGAAAATTGGGAATGTATCAGAGAGACAACAACCCGACCTAAGAGCAGAAAACAGCCCAAGGCCACCAATATGTCGTTATTCAAAAAAGTAAAATACAAAAATACCGAACTCCGAGGAAAATTATAAACAGATAGTCCATACGTAAATGACAAAATCAAAAGTTCAAACACATCAAACGAATGGATAACAACTGTCATATTCCTGACTTGGTACAGGCATTTTCTTATGTAGAACATGGTGGATTTAACCTGGTTTTAAAGCTAGCTAAACCTATCACATATTTGACAAACGCATAAAATTGCATTATATTGACAACGATGTGTGAACGAAACAAACAGGCATAATAGGTAAAAATGTAAAAAATAGGGGTACAGAAGTCAACATTGTGTTGTAATCTTAATCACTATAAAAACCAATAACTATGTCAACAGAGAAAAACAAAAAAGCATATAGACAAAACACATAAATATTATGCAAAAACGAAAGACAAGAATGCAAAAATTTACCATAGCACTATAACACAATGACGGGATGTATAGTATAAATTATTTCATGTAGATTTCTTTGAACAAAAACTGCAATATTTGATGTTATTCTTTGATAAATATATAAAAAATAGTAGAGCATTTCCGATGAGTCAAAATATTGCATCTTGGCCGACATCGTCAATATAACTGAAATACTTTGTACTATATCATTAAAGGGTTATTTGCACTCACTGACTCGTGTAGTTTAATATATTTGGGACAATTTTGTTAAATATTAATGTGATTACCTATTATTCGGAATACATGTAGTAGAAAAAACAGGACCAACTTAAACACTGCTACAAGAGTTAAATGGTTTTGTATTGTAAGGACTTCTGTATTTTTTGTTGTCTTTAAAATAGGTAGGAATCATTCTATCTCCTATCGTGCCTCATTATATTTGTGTTTATAATGTTTGACTATGATAACAATGACTGCATAATCCATTACAAGAAAAAAATAGAAATGAAAATAATATCTAAAAATATTTAATTTTATTTGTGAATAAGAGGCCATATATAAGAAACACATTGATTTTTTCAGAATGAATGCACTGGAAAAGTTTGACCAAGGAATGGACGTTTTCTAAACAAACTTTTGACATGCAGATTAAAAGCACGTACCATAGCTAATCACTTAGTCGCTTTTACCCGTAGTTGCTAACATTTGACATTAAAGACTTATATTATAAACGTTAAAATTAAACTCATGTTCTGTAACAAACTTTAAGCTTCTTTAGTTTCAAGTAATATATTAACATTTAATATGCTTATTAGCGAATCTGGATCAATTTCAGTGAAATTATTTTTTACAGGTTACATGATAGTCAGTAAGACGAATAAAGTACTTGTATTTTCTTTGCTTGTTAAAAATTCTTTTTATGTAACTTGTTATCTCTTGTTTTTTGTTTTATGTCTTTATGTTCTAATAAAACAGATTTAAAACAAAGTAGGGCTGTGGTCCGAATTTAAAAAAAAGTGGAGAATCTAAACTTGATGCAATTGCTGCTTTCAAAACATACTTCTTATATTCTCAAATTTAGAGTAAGTTCAATCTGGTTTTGTTTTACAAAATATTTGTTTACATGCTTTGCAGTAGTAATTGTTTTGTTCAATTTTTATTTTTAATCTTTTGTCTTATACCAGTTAAATCGTGAAACCTATATTTTATTTTGTCATTTTCATATTGTTGATACGCGTTAACATGTTATTTAGATACAATTCTCTTCGCTTGTATTTCTGATCAAATAGGAAAAAATTAAGCTACGCTTTAAATTATTATAAAATATTTGATAATCTTGTACATGTAGGTACAGCAAAAACCGTTAAGATTTTAAACCTAAATGATACTCTCAATTTCAAAATGTCGAAATAAACTAAGTGCACCACATCTGCTCTAAAAGGAACACTATCTCCATTCCAACCCATCTTATCTATCTGAAAGAGATCCCCACTCCAAAACTATATGTATGACTATTCTTGCAGATACAGGAAAAATTCATTCTTCACACTACAATATATTTGCAATTATGAGAATTCCGTAATTACAAAATTAAATGAAAACATATGTGTCAAGCGTCAATGAAATAACAACCAAGTACAAGAAAAAAAGGAAGAAAAAAACAATTTTGAATGCAGCATATGGTACCAATTATCAGTGCGCATAACGCATGTGAACGGAATAACCTTCACCAGATACATTGAGGAAGCAAAAGCATATGTGCCTTTCCCAAGTCAGGAGCCTATAATTCAGCGGTTGTTGTTGGGTCATGTCTGTTATATTTGTTTTTCGGAAATTGTTTTGTTATAAATCATGTAAATTAGGCCGTTGGTTTTCTATTGAAATGATTCATATTTTTCTTGTCGGGGCCTTTTATAGCCGAATATACGGCATGGGTTTTTCTCATTGTTGAATGCCGTTTGAATACCTATAACTGCTTGCATCCATTCAATTGAACTTTGGTGGATAGTTGTCTCATTGGCAACCCTACCACATCTCCTTATTTTTTATAAAAAAAAATCATTGAAAAGCATCAAAACTAAAAGAGGCTATACAGGAACAGCCAAATTCTCTCAGAACAGCTATGCCAGTGGAAATTGCAACTTAAGTGACAGTGAAATAAATATTCCCTCCTGCAAACTGTTGATTCCTTGTCCGGCTTTAGCCATATATTATGTTCATTTTAGTTTGATCAGCTCTTCAACGTTTGTACAAGTTTTTGTTTTTAAAATATGTTGGCTTGGAGCATCACAGAAGATATATGTTGTCGAAATGCACATCTAGTGAAGTAAAATTTGTAACTTTAATGTTATTAAGGCGTCATTAATTAACTGATGTTTAAATCTAAAAAAAGAAAAAAATCAACAAATTGACGAAGTGCCTTGCATGGGAAAGGCACATTAAATCCACAATCTTCAGCATTCACATCGTGATTAAAATACACATTAAATGTACGCAGTAGAACAAAAATTGAACTAGGCAATATTATGATACAACAAACGACAAATGTTCATTGGTTTTTTATTTTGATTTGCATCACCATCACAAGAACAATCGTTGGTTCATGTCGGTCATCTTTATTTTTCGTAACTTGTATAATTATAGAGTAGGCCTTTTTATCATGTCGGGGCATTTTATAGCTGACTATACGATTTGAGTTTTTCTGGTTGTTAAAGGCCGTACGTGGGTTATACTGTAATTGTTAATTTGTCACTTGTTATTAAACCAAATATTTACATTGTAATTTTCCGACTACACAATATTCTTGTATATTTCTTGAAAATGCTGATTTATCATTATAACCTTATGAAATATCTATCACAGACGACACTGCTATGTTTCAATTGTCGTAGCCATTCCCCTGCCCTCTATTCCTCGATCGTCATCCCCGAATGCGACAAAACTATGCATTTGTTTTTACTATGAACAGCATTGCGAATGTCACGTGTGGATAAGGATTTCTTAACCCTTTCGATCACCTGAGATCACATCGTTGTGTATGTCGTGCTGCTCATGAGTCGAAAATTAACTGACAACGTCTTAGCAAAAAAAAGTAAAAAACAAAATGTCAAACAACAGTATCAAAAACACAGCATACAAAACTAAAAACTTAGCAGCACGAACCCTACCAATAAGGAGCATAAGGAGATGTGTTTTGATTGCCAATGAGACAACCTTTGATTACGGACTTTCCGTTTTGAATTTTCCTCGGAGTTCGGTATTTTTGTTATTTTACTTTTTTTCCACCAGATATAATTACTTCAGTTATCGGATTTGCATCTGCTAATCTTTTACACCTAAAAGTTGCATTTTGTATATGTCTTGATCTTTATTATGAATTAATTAATCAAGTTGAAAAGGCGTTTGCTGTGCATAAAAACAAAAGCCGTAAGAGAAAAGATCTCACAAACTTTCCCTTTACTGGATTTAGCAAATTTTTAACACTATTAAAAAGTCGGGTATGAAGAAGTAACTTTTATTTCTCTTTTCCTCCTGTATCAATATTTATAAGGGACTACAATTAATCATTCACACCTGTTAACATGTAAGACCCATGAAATTTAGTTACCTTAAATTCTTTTCAATTGATATAACATAAACGGTACCAATTTTTCTGCACCAAATGCGCAGTCTCCTCAGTGATGCTCGACGCCAAAATATTTGAAAATCCAAAGCTTAACACTCATAATTTCATGGTTGAAAAATATCTTGGATTATATATGTTGAATGATAAATACATAATATGCATAAACGATCAGTGATATATGAACCGTCAATCTTTTACTTAATCTTATATAAATTATAGAGATTTAATGGGAGTTATGATTCCACCTTCAGGATCTTATTACAGATTGGCATTTACACACAGCGTTGTACAGCAATGTTAATTGTAAATCTAACAAGTTCTGGAATTGTCTATTATGTATTTCTTTTAGGCTTTTAACGACTTATTTATGAAGCCATAATTATACTACTGTAGTACAATGATCGCATATAGCATATTTTGGGAATGCCATCAATTCGATAATTCATAACTACAAATCTATAATGTGCATTGCACGAGATCGCGTCTTTATGTACTGTTTATAAATATACATGGAAGTACAGTCAAATGTACAAGACTGTAATTATAATTTATATGGTTTGCTACTGGCCCTCCACGGATCCATAGAGGGTTAGTAAAATCAAACTGCTATGGATCCGTAAGTGATCAGATGTGAACCGTATTATGATTTTACCGATTTTTTTGCACACTGGACTATTCCTGCAAAATTGTGTATAAAATAAACAATGAAATACAATAGTGAGAGGGCTTTAAAGTCAAGCAATGTAGTGAAAACTCCCATAGTAGCAATAGCATCAATATTAGACGAGACGTCATGATACACCTTTGAAATCTACTGACCTCTAATGTGTCAACACGTGATGGCGTTAAACTAATCACAACGACACTAATTTATCCGAGGTGCGATATATCACCAGATTAGGTATTTTGCATGCGTTCTTTAAGACGGTTTTGTTTATCATTGTTTTGCTTTTACATATATCCGGTTTTATATTGGTATTATTGAGAGGAGTGCTTTTCCTGTACTGAATTATAATGTGTACCTTTTGTTAGTCTATCGAGCAAGTTAAGAAGGAAGAGACTTTTAGAAATAAACAAAAACAAACTTATTTAGGTCCACTACATGTTTATGCAATTTACTCTGTCATTTTGGTATTAACAACAGATCTTTGATAGTACCTGTTTAATTTATTGACAATTTTGTTCCACTCTGGGCGATTTAGACCTGATTATATTGTACAGACATCTATTTATTGTTGAAGGCCATATTTTGTCCTCTAGAAGTTTTTTTTTGTTGAGTTTGGTTGCTGTCTCGTGATGTAGGTAACATTGATTTTATTTATAAAAGTAAAAGAAAGAAAGAACAAAAAGCTAGGCATCACAAAAGTGACGATGGATATTCACGGGCATTAAATATGTCACCATTTATTTAGATCCTGTACCAAGTCAAGGAAAATGACAGTTTTTTTCCATTCGGTTGAAGTGTTTAAGCTTTTGATTTTGCCATTTGATAAGGGACTTTCCGTTTTGAATTATTCCTTAGAGTTCGGTATTTTTGTTATTGTTTTTTTTTGCATTATAAACACAGGCAATTATTTTCATTGCAATCTAATCCCGCTATGTAAACTTCTATATGTGTCACTAATATATTTTTTACTCATCTTTGTAAGTATTTAATGTATTAAAAGTGCAATAACAGAAATCAAAGATATATCTAAAACAGTTGAAACTCAATAAAAAGTAGAATCTTATAAAGTCAAGTCAGAACCGGTCATCATCTCTTCTTCGGACATTCTCTTTACATGCCAGTTTCACCATGCTCGGTTTCTCCTTTTGGAATGTTCTGGAAGGGGTCAGTGTTATCATTGTCATTCATCTGTGGAAAAATCTCAGATAGAGATGATCTACAAATTAAAAAAAGAATAATTAAAGGAATGAAGGAAATAACTGTAGATTTTTTTATAGTTTTTTTTTACAAATTATGTCTCTTTCACTCTTGTCAAGAATCTTGTCAACCACATACGATTAACGATTGGTCTTACTGACACAGAGTGATATTTTTTATTCGATCGTCACTGATGAGTCTTTTTGTAGACACTTTTTATGGCAAATTCGGGAGATCGAAAAATAATCAAAAATCGGAATTAAATTGATCTGATGCAAAATTAGAAAATTAATTAATCGTTTAGTGTGTCTTTTAAATGTACATAATAAGAAAGTAAGCAGACTCGTAGGATGGAGTCTCGAAATACACATTTGGGTACAGACATCTGGCTGGGGTTTAAAAACTACCCACCACCCATTCATATATTTATTTATGCGAAAATCCCCACCAATTCGTATATTTAATTGGAAAATCATAACCCATGTATATTTATTTCCCAGCTTTCATATGACTCTCTATCTAGACGTTAACCACATGGGATCGTTTATTTCATTTGATAAAAAGATCAGTGCACAATTTTCATAGATACTTTAAGAGAAGATGAAACTTCATGACCCGTTGGCTCTTAAATTTCTACCTCTTGTTATATTACCTCCGTGAAATTGCACACTATTGATATATTTGACATTAAAAAAGTAACCCATACAAGCGGAACGTCTGTTTATAACTTTATATTGCAATATAACCGCATCCCCCACCCACTCACCCCCGTATGGACTAATAAAGGATGCTTAATCCACTGCATATGTTTTAAGAAGACCTATCTCTGTACATGTAACACGTTAAAATTCAAGATGTCTGACAACACCAAAATACACCATTTGTTTAGTAGTGGTCAAAATCCTTGTCCAATTCACACGGTCATAGGAGGGATAATACCATGGGGACAACCACATTCACAAATCAACCTAATTTTTAAATTATGTCAACTGATATATAAATAAAATATATACCACAGTACATAAGGCAGCAAAAAATACCAAATTAATCATTATTTCGATTCCAACTTACTCTTCATTTTCATGGAATTTAATGGTTTGCTCACTGGCACAGCTAAGACATTTGCAGTAGCATCGGTGACAATAATAGATTGCCGCATAATATCCACAGCGTCTTCTTCTTGTGCAAATATATTTACACCTGGGAATACAGCTTCTTCTACCATCTGCCTCGTGGACTAATAAAAAATATCATAGACGTAATCATTAAAAGAGCGATATCTTATAGGTATAGGTTATTTGCTCATATTTCAGTGAATTATTGTCTTATGTATAACAAAGCCATAACTTTTCTTTTGCCATTTACTCAGCACAATGTGTCTAAGTATTTGTCATTGAAGAAATAATACTGACCACAAAAAGAATAGCATACACTTTAAGGGGGAACATTGATGACCAAATATGACTGCCATAGTCTTAATTTGTAGATATATCCAGAAATCATATAAAATAATATTAATTTGAAAAGCGTTATATTTATTATAAAACGCAATCGAAGATGGTATTTTGAGACAATGAAAAAGCTCTTAACATGATGGAGAAATGGGATGAATTTTCATAATGTTAGCAATAGGACAATTAACTATTTAATGAAATTGGACGTAACTCTATTGTAAATTCCATAAATCTCCTGAAGCAAAACATCCCTGATCGTAGCCACTAACACGTCATCTTTTCCTCGAGTTTGACATCGCTGCATGCGACTTATCATCGTATTTGTATTCGCCATTAGCGACACGATGAGTGCCACATGTGGAGTAAGGTCTGCCTACCCTTTTGGAACACTTGGGATAACCGCCCCCCGGTTTTTGGTGGTTTGCTTGTTGCTCATCCTTGGAGATTGTTGTGGCCTTTTTGTTTTTATATATGATTTTTTTTTGTCATGATATTGTCCGTTATTCATCTACTTGTGATATTTCATTGTCCCTTCGGATCTTTCTTCTCTGTTTTGAGAAGATTTTGTTTATTCATTAAGAAACCATTTGGTTTATTCTTTTCACTACAGTTTTGTTTATACTAATCCCAGTGAACACACCCATCTTTAATGTAACAAATACTCTACTGTGATTTTTCCTGAGAGTAAAGATATGCCGCAAGGACTTAACATTTTACTCCGGTTTTCAAACGTTTATATGTTTTTAATATAAAGTAGCAACATTATGTACATACCTGTAAGAATTACAACAAGAGCAATAGCCAGAATAATTGCAACCTTCATATTGGATCTAAAGCAACGTACTTATTGATCTGAAATTGAAAGGTTTGTTACATTTTTTCCATATATAGGAAAAGGCATGCAATGAAAAAAGGAAGCGCAAAGAATATGAAATATTAACGCAGTAAACTTCAGGGTAGTATCTAATACGAAAGTTCGATATGTCTAACCGAAAGCAAGATAAATATATGGTAAAGTGTAACAATTTATTTCTATTTTGTCTTAAAGCCTCTCGCAAAAATCAGTAGACATTTTCCCACATTCTAAGGGTGTTATCAATTTAGAATGCCGATTAATAAACATAGCAAGTTATCTTTGATAACCTGCATGTTAAAAAGTTTTTTGTTTCACGACTGATTTATTGAAAAGATAAGATACAATTAGTCTATTTCTAAATATTGTAACGTTTTGATTACTATGATATTGCTGTTTACATACAGTGATACAATTTATTTTGACACAGTTACCTACCTTATATGTATGATTTAATTAGTCAGCAGGCTGTGAGAGTAAATTGACAAATTGGTGGCTTTTATAACATTTGATGCAGATATGACAATACCGGACGGATTTGGTGTTTGCAACAGAATTGAGTCTTGTGACAATACCGGACGGATTTGGTTCTTCCAACAGAATTGCGTTTTATTTGTAATGTGTTGTTTCGGAAATCTAGGGGGTGTTTGGATAACCCGTTTAACAATTCACAACCCACGTACATTAAAAATAAACATTAAAAATAGAAAAAAAGCTATACGGACGAGGTGAAAACAGGGACAATTATTTGGAACCTTGCCACATCCGTTAAATGACCCTGTGATAATGTCAAAGAACGTTCTTGCAAAATTTCAAATCAGATGAAGTAAGAAAAAGAGAGGCGAAAAATACCAGAGGGACATTCAAACTCATAAGTCCAAAATAAACTGACAACGCCAGAAGACAGGAAGTGACAATGAAGTAAATAATTAAAAGAAAAATGTTTTTTTCTAGAATTAAGAAAATTTAGACCGAAAATTGTTCACTAAACATTACCCCAAAAACTAAAGACTTTGCAACACGAATTTGCACTGTAACCGTCGAATGAACGCATAAACTGGGAAGAGTAAGTTATCTGCTCCATTAATGAGCCCTGTTGAGTTGTTAATGGAACAAATATAACCCTTTTTTATATCATGTATTATGTACTATTGGATATATGTGTCTCTGTAAAATTTGGTTTTTGATGTATGAATTAACAAAATGTTACTGTCACTTGATTTTAAGAGATGCTGTTCACCTATTGCAGTTCATTTCAATTTGTTTTCCAAATTGCAATTTGTTTCATCAATTCAAAATGTTCAACTGGTCAGATATTTAAACCAACTGCTGTAGAAGAACCACTGCCAAGTCACCAAAGTGCAAAGCATACTTGCAATCCATTATGATGTGAGTTTTTGGATTTTTTTTAAAATCTTTATTCAATTATTCAACATTTATACAATAGATATAATACATATTACAATTACACAAAAATATTCATAAAAAACAATGCATACTTGCAATCCATTATGATGTGAGTTTTTGGATTTTTTTTAAAATCTTTATTCAATTATTCAACATTTATACAATAGATATAATACATATTACAATTACACAAAAATATTCATAAAAAAAACAAGGTTAAAAGTATAATGACATATATCATCAACATTATAATCAAAAATTAAATGCAATGACACCTTCAGTCTCTTGCACAAGAATATTGTACTTTAAAAAGTGTTTCTCAAAATATTCCTACAGGTATAATTTAGACCGAAAATTGTTCACAAAACATTACACCAAAAACTGTGTATGTAAATTGTCTGATAACATTACTGTTCATATTTGTAAGTAAATTCCTTCTTCTGAAGATGATACAGTATCTCGCTATACATAACATGAAATTGTAAAAAAAGTTACATTTATATCTTTAAAAGATCCAATTAAACCAAACATGAATACCTTTTCAAACACTACATTATCAATTTTGTCAGAGACAACATTATCAAATAAAAATAACTACTTTTGCTGCACAAACATATGAAATTCTACTATTTTCGAACACAATAAAAATAAATAGTTTACACATAGTTTACTATTAAGTAATTAAACAATTCTTTTGTAGAACACATTGAAAACTCTGACAAGTTGTCTTTGAAAATAACACTAATATTTAAAGAGCGAGATTTATTTCTCCTATGAACATTTTTACGAATAATTTCAGTCCCTTCTTTAGACAACATTACTTTTAAAATATTACATCTTTTTACAGTATTGTTAATATCACAATGATCAGTTACATTTTGTATTATCTCAACTATAGCCATTTCTAAACAAATCTCCTATAACTTCATAACATATATCTTTTACCTGAACAATTCCAGCATTTATAAAATCATACCATATAACAGTTTTTTCCACCATACAACACATCTGGATTACAAATAAAGGTTGATCGTATATATTTTCAGTGCTATGATCAAATTCAATATCATCTCTTCCGAGACCAAAACCTTTCAAAATTTCTTTGTAAACATTACAAATACATTTTACGTTTTCTGGTAAAGATATGAATAATATTTCTTCTGATAAGTTGATATTAGAATGTTTTGAGATAAGATATTCAAATGTAGACTTCTATAGTACTGTATAATTCTTGTATAAAAACCTGGCTAAAAGATTTAATCTAAATGCATACATCTTTGATTCAATATCAGGTAACTGTAATCATCCATTACTCTTTTGATCAATTATCGTGTTGTATTTTACTAAGTGTGCACCATTATTCCACACAAAATTAACATATGCAGTTTTAATATCTCTTAAAACATGATCTGGCATCGATGTTACAAACAAAGAGTACCCTAATCTTGACAATAATATTCCCTCTACCCTGTATTGTCAATTGCCTCTACATTCCAATATTTAATAAGGACTTAATTTTACTAACTTTACCACTCCAATCTAAATGATTACAAACAGTTTTATCTTTGCCAACATATACTCATAACAATGAAATATAGTTTTTACAATCGTGCAATTTATATTTGTTTGTTTTATATCGTTAATTTTTCCTTACACAAATGGCAATATCTTTAATATTTGCTTATCTATTTTTACGCCTAAACTGCATTATGATGTGAGTTCCACTCTATCAAGAAAGTATGGACTAAAATTTCTATACATACTTTTATTTCAATGAGTCATTTGAGAAGCGAGAGTACTTTTTTTTTAATTGCTGTTTAAATGTCCTTACTTAACTTTCATACTTTTCCTTTCAAAAAAGTCTTGTGTTTTTTTTAGGAATTAGATATAAGTTTGAATTTAAACATAATTATAATATTAAATAAAAGTTTTGCGAAGTTGAAATATTATCAATAAGTTTTCATGGGGAGATAATCTAAATTTTTTGTATATGAACAAGTGAAGACACAGATTTGTATTTTTTTTTAAATGGCTTATGCATCCACAGATGCCAATAAAAAAAATTAAAATAATGTCATGTTGTCTGATTGGCGATAGCCACTTTGAACAAATAAATTTACATGTACACTTGTAGGTGTAATACCACCATTGATTTCCCCCTATTAGTCTTTGTTAAATTTGCACTTTTCAAAAAATTGTGCAGAATTTATCTTTGTTTCAAATAAAGAAATACTTGGCATGAGTAAAGATTTATCCTGTCCAGTACTATAGAAAAAATTTCACATAACATTTCATTGCATATAAGAAAGAAACCATCACTGGAAGTTAACCAATCAAATTTTCCCCCTTTTTTAACCTGTGTACAAGCTTTAGTAACCATGTAACCTCAAGTTTCCAAAATATTCTATAGAAACCCCAAATAAAGAAATAATGGTGCTTTGAAATACCCAAGATATATGTTTATGACTCAGAAATGTTTTACTGCAATGAAATGTAGGATCAATTACCTACAACTGTCAAATTCAAGGGAATATTTTTTTTCGACCTAATTTCGTATGCAACCGGATGTGACGTACTATGATTTGGTTCTATTACACCTAAAGAAGACTTTTTTGTTAAATAAACTGAATGTGAATTTTTTCCTTTGTAATACTGGTTATTTCAAGCATTCCTGTCAAGTCTTGTCATAATCAGTTCAATAGTTTGAGAAAAATCTAGTATAATGTAAGACGACATCTACAGCGATTCGAGCAAAATTTCTTCGAAAAATCCAAACCAAGCCGCATCATGATAGAATATAGTGTGGACCAATAAATGATCAAATATTTATCTCATCTGCCTAAAAACAGTTGAATATGATACAAAAGATGACTTAAGGATGATAAATACTACTAATGGACCTCTTTGTCTTCCTTATAAGGTCTCTTTTGGTCCATTTATACCTCTCATTTCCTCAAAATTTCTACTTTTTAGGCCAATAAATAAAAATTTTGGGGTAACTTTCACTCATTTATGATGGAAATGTTATTATGAATGATTAATTGAAGTATTCAAGCAGAATGAACCATCCGTATAAAAGTTTACTGTCTCCAAGGAGGTTTCAATAAGTCCTTACGTAAAACTTAAATTTACGCCGCGTTCCAGAGAAGGACATAAAAAACTTCTCTTTTGGTGAATAATTTGTTGTTACTGCTTTAAAAATAATTTCATTTATTTAAAACTATATACTTATTAAAGTATTTCTGAGGAAAACTTTTCTAGTATAGCAGAATATAAGAAATAAGGAGAAAAAGCTCCCCAAAACTCTAAGTATGGCTTGTTCTGTCAACTAATATTCATGGTAAAGTCCTATTTCAAGGAAATTTTCTCATAAAATGTATTTTGGAGACTCAATCCACTCAGAATATTTCATTATTTGTAATATTTCACTTAAATAGCAAGAAATTTTAACACATGAGAGTACTCACAAGGTCAAAGGTGCATGTACAGCTTCCCATATTAGGTGTAATACCACCATTGATTTCCCCCTATTAGTCTTTGTTAAATTTGCACTTTTCAAAAAATTGTGCAGAATTTATCTTTGTTTCAAATAAAGAAATACTTGGCATGAGTAAAGATTTATCCTGTCCAGTACTATAGAAAAAATTTCACATAATATTTCATTGCATATAAGAAAAAAACCATCACTGGAAGTTAACCAATCAAATTTTCCCCCTTTTTTAACCTGTGTACAAGCTTTAGTAACCATGTAACCTCAAGTTTCCAAAATATTCTATAGAAACCCCAAATAAAGAAATAATGGTGCTTTGAAATACCCAAGATATATGTTTATGACTCAGAAATGTTTTACTGCAATGAAATGTAGGATCAATTACCTACAACTGTCAAATTCAAGGGAATATTTTTTTTCGACCTAATTTCGTATGCAACCGGATGTGACGTACTATGATTTGGTGGTATTACACCTGTACAGTAAATTCGCAAAAAAGACAAATTCTTATTTAAAAAATTGGATTCAAGCCAAACATATGCAAGCTATGAATAAAAGTAGATTTTAAAGTAAACTATATATGAGTTCCAATGTTGTTTTATATACAGTGTTGGTTAACATTATGGAAGAGCACGTCTATTCTATTGTGGTAGGGGATGAGTAGCATACTTTAAGTTCATTGCATGTACACAATTAGTGTACAGTTTCCTACATGTATAAATGTACATAGGTCAGTGTCAATTCCATTGAATTATATCATTTGGGAAATAATATATTACAGTATTTCACATCCATCTAAATGTTAAAATATGACTTTAATAACATATCATTTACTTTACATATTAAGGACAAAACTCAAGGATCTGAAGAAGAAAAAAACCAATTTTAGTTTACGATGTTTTAAGAAAATCTGGAATTTTAGTTGACGCCAAACATTTCAACTAATAATCTGTCTATCAAGCTAAAATTAAAGTAGCAACATGGAACTTTGCTAGATTATTGAAATAATGTTAATGCAGAACTTTGAAAGTTCACAATCCTGATATTTCAGGAATTGTATCAAAAAGTTTGAATGAAATCATAAAATGTATATTTATAAAACTGCCTAACATGAACATTTACATTTGACATTTGATTCTGCGCAAATTAAGCATATCCCCTTATATAAAACAACAGTAAATAATAAAAGCAACAGTATAATGTAGATGATCTTATGGAAATATTGTATTACTCAACAAAATGTCTGTATGCAAAGTAGGAAACACCAATAAGTTTGTACATGTACATATGTGTAAGATATGAATTCTAACCGTTATCATTCCGTCAAAGAATTTGTTCAAAGCAGCATTTGATCCATGATGTACACGTGTCATATTTTAGTTATGGGTATACAAATGTTTATTTGTTTCCTTAATAATTGCCTTATTTCATATTTGAGATAAAAAAAAAACTCTAGATTTGATATGTATAAATCAGAAAAAAATTCATGATAGAAAATTCCCCCACATTCTTTATGTGCCTGTCCCATGTTAGGAGTCTGTTATTCAGTTGTTGTTATTGGCTGCTGCCTGTCATATTAGTTTTTCTTTAATTAGTTTGTAATAATTTCAGGCTATTCATGTTTTCTGGTTTGAATTGTTTCATATTTAGTAATGTTGCGTCATTTTATATCACACACATATATATATACAGTATGGGTTTTGTTCATTGTTGAAGACTGTATTGTACGGATACTTATAGTTCCTTGCATCCACGTTTTACACAGCTGGATAGTTGTCTCAATGCAATTAGCAGATATACTTTTTACGTTCATATTAGTACTTTGTATATCATGCATATAAAAGTAACTATTCATTGTGGATTCATTATTATTCTTTGGATCTCAATTTTCCTGGTTTTCGTGGGCACAGGTGAACTACGAATTTAAATGTTCAACGAATCACACATTTCTATCAGGTTGTATGCAGACTTTGCCTAAACCACGAAATCAAATATCCACGAAAAGGCAAGTTTTCCTCAATCCAAAAATTTGTACCCACGAAAATATATGAATTCACTGTATATCTGAGCTGTGACCTATTCTGATTCATCATTGAAGAAAGATATTTTAACCAGGGAGAAGGAATAGAAATCCTGTCTGAGAGTATTGCATTATGTTCTTTAAAAAATTACTTTGCAAAAATAATTGGATTCATGCATGGTTTGAAATAATTTTTTTGAATAAAAAGAAAATCATAACTGTTCTTAAATGGTCTTTTTTTGTTGTTGTGTTTTATTGATCATGATGCATGATTGATTGATTGTTGTTTACTTCAGGTCCAGTGCCAAATATTTGATGCATACTTGATTAATTGGTTGTTGTTTTTTTATGTCCAGTGGCAAATATTGCATGCATGACGAGAATAAATTAAAATTAGAAACAACTGATCCCAGGGCTAACGGATTATGTAGGCACAAGGTTGAAGGGCTTAACATGTTATTCAATGGTTATAGATGATGTGTAATATTTTAACTTTAGTTTATTTATGAATCAATTTGAAATTGAATCTGCAGGGAAATGAAATCATTTTCACGGAGAAAGAAATATTAACACAACTGGTTTTGACCTTTAATGGAAGACGGTTAATGGATAAATTTCTACTATTGATAAGTTGATGACAGAACTGTGAATCTGGGTGGATAGGTTGAATGTTGAGGGTGTTTTACTTGAAAGGGCAATCAATTGTGGAACCTACTGAACACACATCATTAATGTTAAATAAGATTTTATTGAATCTAACTATTGAGAAGGGAAAGATACCAATATGACATTCAAACATATAAGTCGAAAATAAACTGACAACGCCATGGCTTAATAAGAAAAGACGAACAGACATACAACAGTACACAAGCCACAACTTAGAAAACTAAAGACTGACCAACACGATCCTCACCAAAAACTGGGGGTGATCTGAAGTGTTCCGGAAGGGTAAGCAGATCCTGCTCTACATGGGACACCCGTCGTGTTTCCCCTATAGCAATATATAGTGATAAGACATCACGCAGTAGCAGATTGGTAATTGACTCTTATCTAACCCTAAGACATCACCAAATTCTAGACCATCGGTCATGTAAAATTTTCTAACTCTGACACTTGACAGAATGTAAAATTTTAAATTAAAACAGGTTGTTCATGTGTCCTACATTGTGTCAAGGATTTGTATAGTATAGTTCTTGCCATACACAATTTGTTAACTTAAATTAATAGTGAATATCACAATGAAAACAACAATTGTTCAATATTGATCACTTTAGTAGTTTTGACTGGGTGGTTGGTTATTTTAAAAGACATTCAAATCACAACTATAGTTAGCTTCTCAAGGTATTTTATTTGAACATGAAGACATCAACAAAGAAAAGAAATATTTAGAATTGCATAAAAACATATTTTGCATAACAAGTGAGGGAAAACAAATATTATGTACTGTTTTACTGTTTTCTTAAAACTTACTTCTACTGACGGATATAAATCATGTCACACTATCAAGCAATTTGTTAAATGTTATAATATTACTTCAAGCTGAAAAGCTGAAAGTGTGTGACAGAAGATTTAATAAATTTTCAAGTTTATAATGAACATTTTTGATGACAGAATTGGCACAAAGTGTTCACCATCAAGGAAAGAAGTATAGCTGATTTTCTAAGTTGGCTCGTGATCAAATATCTGTCTAGAACATATCCATTCCTTGGTCCAAATTTTCCATCTCATTCATTCTGAAATAAAGTGAATGTGCTAAATTATTAACATCTATTTTATCAGCAATCAAAGCCGGGCTCCAAAGTTAGTGTGAAACTGCCTATTCTAGAGGTGGCGTGAATCAGATGTGGATACTAAAAAATTCCAAAGATCTTTTAGAGTACATACAATCTAAGACTCTCTCATCTTGCAATAGTATTAAAATATCTGACTTTTCTACACTTTACACAAGTATTCCCCATTCCAAACTAAAAGACAATTGAAAGAGTTGGTATTACTTTGTTTCATTAAAAAGAATAGCGAACGTGGATACAAGTGTCTTGTCTTGGGGAGGGATAAATCCTACTTTGTAAAGAATCACTCTGATTCGACAAAAAAAAAAAAAAAAAAAAAAATCTCTGAAACTGACATTATCAAGATGCTTGATTTCTTGATTGACAACACATTTGTGACGTTTGGAGGACATGTTTTTCAACAGACTGTTGGAATTTCAAATGGGAACCAATTGTGCCCCTCTTCTTGCCGACTTGTTTCTTTATTATTATGAAGCTGACTTCATACAGAAACTTCTTAGGAAGAAATATAAGAAGTTAGCAATATCCTTTAACTTTACGTTCCGCTATATAGATGATGTTCTCTCACTAAATAATACAAAATTTGGTGACTATGTTGAACGAATCTATCCCATCGAACTAGAGATAAAGGATACTACAGATACAGTTAAGTCTACCTCATATCTTGACTTACATCTAGAAATTGACAATGAGGGTCGGTTGAAAACAAAACTTTACGACAAAAGAGATGATTTCAGCTTCCCAATTGTGAACTTTCCATTTCTATGTAGCAACATACCAGCAGCGTCTGCATACGGAGTATATATTTATACGATATTCCCGGGCTTGTATCTCCTATCATGATTTACTTGATAGAGGATTGCTGCTCGCAAGGAAGCTATTAAACCAAGAGTTCCAAATGGTGAAGTTGAAATCAACCCTTCGTAAATTTTACGGACGCCATTACGAGTTGGTTAACCGTTATGGAATAACCTTTTCACAGATGATATCGGATATATTCCTTATGTCGTAACTACAATACCCTTCCCTTTTCACGAGTGTGACCTACCAAATAAGACTATTTACCAGATTTGTAATAACATAAGCAACACGACGGGTGCCACATGTAGAGCAGGATTTGCTAACCCTTCCGGAGCACCTGAGATCACCCCCAGTTTTTGGTATGGTTCGTGTTGCTTAGTCTTTAGTTTTCTATGTTGTGTCATCTGTACTATTATTTGTCTGTTTGTCTTTTTATTTTTGGCCATGGCGTTGTCAGTTTGTCTTCGATCTATGAGTTTGACTGTCCCTCTGGTATCTTTGGTCCCTCTTTTTTCTCTTATATGTGGAGTTATTTTCATAAATTCAATCAAAACGTTTCAAATAATATTTTTTTTCTTCTGACTATTCTTGTGCAATTGACCAGTGATCGATTTGTATATAAATGTTTTTGAACGCAAATAATTAAGAGACACATTGAAAGACACCTTATCTGCCTCCCCACACATTAACCGATAACCAAAAGCCACCCCTTCAGACTCTTGCAGGAGTAATTCAGGAGTTCGTCTTTTTTCTACGATTGTGAATTATGCGACTTAGAAGATAATTGAATTTTACCAATCATATTTTCAAGATGAAATTCTTTATTTCAAAATTTTTCAAATGATCTGTTTCAAAAATTGGTATACATCTTAAATACAGCACATGTTGGCATGTAGACAGCTATTGTTTTCTTAAAATTTTTAAAAGTTTATATTGTGTAACGGAATCTTGTATTAAGTACTTACATTGGAGTGTTGTCCATCTCGTTGTTCTTCTCGTTTACATTTCTAGCGCTTCCAGAAAGTGCCAATGGAGACTCAGCTCTGCTACAATGAAGGCAGTAGCAAATTTTCCCGGGATGAAGATTGTAGCATCCATATAATTTGCAACCAGCAGTCCCACAGAACTTACTACAATAGTACGATGCGCAAGGCGTTGTTTGGGCTTCCTGAACTTCAAATAAAAAAATAAGAAAAAATAAAATAAAAATAAAAATTGCTTAAGTTTGTACACAAATAACGATGCCTGTATAAAAGAGAAGCGATATATACCATTGCGACATTTGATATCATAAGTCGAAAATAAACTGACAACTCCATGGCAAAAAAAAAGACAATCAACAGTTTACAAAGCACAGCATAGAAAACTAAGAACCGAACAACACGTATAAAGTAAATAAAAATGTGTAAATATAAATTTAAACAACCAAAAAATATCTCATTTGTAAACATTTATAATTATCTTAATTTGAAAAGTATTTATTAATGAAAAATTATTAAAATGAAGAAGTATAATTTTACATAAAATTCAGGCATATGGGTTTCGGAAAAGTTTTGAAAAACGTTTATCAATCCGTCTCCCGTATAGGTATCTTATAAAGACATTATTAGATATATACTTTTAATGCAGACATACACACATATCTATAATTCTTTAAATATATTTACCCCCGACAATAACTGCAACTACAACAGCTAACAGGATCGTTGCCTTCATGTTTAATGCTCTGAGTTTTTAGGAATACTAAATACGAAACCTAAATAAAAAAGAAAACATCAAATACTAATGGATGGTAACGATTGAAAGAGGGTATTTCATTTCAAAACACAATCTGAATATTTCTAGATAGAATGAAAAATTCTTGGTAGCAAAAATAATATGAAGCGAATTGTATAAAAAAAAACAAACATTTTACCGTAGTGGTACTCATTGGTTAAATTTGTATTGTGTTATATATATAGGTTTGAACGTTGTTTTCAATTTAGACGTGTATATATATATCTAGATCTAACATTGTTGGGCTGATGTTTAGACAAGTTGTATATACAGAATGTACACAGCCATGTATCACCATCACTACTGGTGGTCCGATGGAGAAATCTGTTGTAGAGTTGTCACTGGTTCAGACGTATATATATATATATATATATATATATATAAATAAGTCTAAATTGAAAACAACGTTCAAACCTATGATTGCGCTGGATAAAAACCGCAATTTGTATACGTGTGCATGCAAAACAAATTTCTTGGTAAAGGGGTCTAAATACAGCACAAACAACGTTTTCCAAAAGACCAAAAAAGGGAAAAAGTATATTTAAACAAAACGCATTTGACTAACAATTCGAACAACGGATGTTCTTAAACACTATATATATATTTACAAGCATGTCTTTGTGAAAATGTTTTTGCTATTCATTTTGCTTTTTGTTCGAGTAACGATGTTTATCGAATCTAAATTTAAATGAAACTAATTAAATACAAGATTTTTGACAAGTGAAATAATCTGAAAATTGACCTACCTTTCGTACAATCTTGTAGAAGTTAAAGACAAGTATATTAGTATAATATATAAATGTTCTGAACAGGAAACACGGATATTGTGGTTGCTCTCTGCATTTAAATTTAAAAGCGTAGTTTTTTGTCAATGTCAAACTGCCAATAATATTGCCAAAATCTATCTGCGTAATAGCCGACTATTCTACTTTTCTTAAAAGGGAATATATAACATCTGCATCATATCATTACGTTATACTAGTATTTCAACCTTTTGTCGAAACATCAAGTTTCACTAAAATTCAAACTACATGACAAAATATTAAAATTTTGACATTTTTTTCATCTGTGTAATCAATTGACGAATGAAATGTTTTCATCTGAATATATAAAAATATTTGATTGAAAATCTTAAACTACCGTACTCGATGTATTATAATAAGATTTTTTATATTGTAAATTATATTTTATAGCAAATATGTTCGCCTGTTTCTCTGTTAAAGCAATGGTGATTATGGAACTATAGATCTAGTTGATAAGTTGATCTTTTGAGCAATTTTTAAAGCAGTCATTTATTTTACATAACAACCCCTTATATTGATATTTGGAATGTTTCCTAATTGTTTCATGAAAAGGTAAAAAAATGTTCTGTTATGTAGATTCTACTGGTATTCATGCACATCATTTTAATCAAGTTAAATGTGATGATGTCCTTTTCTATATAACGTTTTAAACTGTTTCTGAAGCATGTCCACATATGTGATCCAGACTTAAAGTCTCTGAAATGGCTGGTACTCAAATTGGGTTAATTCTGAAAATTTCATTTTAAATCCAATTTTGAAGGCTTTTCATAAAAAAATATCTGTCTGCGTTATACAATTACACCAATGCGAGCCTTTGTTATTTTCAAGTTACTCGTGTGACCATACCGTAAAAGTGCACATTATATGGAATGCAGTATAAACATAAGGAGATGTGGTATGATTGCCAATGAGACAACTATCCAACGAAGTTCAAATAAAGTGGATGTAAGCAATTATAGGCAACCGAACGGCCTTCAACAATGAGTAAAACCCATACCTTGTTGTCGGCTATAAAAGGCCCCGACATGGCAAATATGAAACAATTCAATTGAGAAAACTTTCGGTCTAAGCTATAACAAAACAGTTTACAATAAAACAAATATGACAAACATGAACCAACAAAAACAGGCTCCTGACTTGGGACAGGCACATAAAGAATGTGGCGGAGTTAAAATGCTTGTGAGCGCTCAACCCTCCCCTAACCTGAGACAGTGGTGTAACAGTACACCATACACAAACTATAAAAAATCAGGTGAAAAAGGTTTAACTCATCAGATGGATACAAATAGAAATACATCAAACAAAAACACAAAGTAGACGTGAACGGGTACTTATACATCCCAAAAACCAAAAGACACTATAAGTACAGATCTGAGAGTACTCGCAGTAAATGACAGCTAGTCAAAGCCAATAACAACTAATAATTACATTAGATGTATGTTTCATTATAATACGTTATTCTGATTGGCTACACTGCAATCTCGCGTTATTCCTTAATCAACTTCATTACACAATAAAATTTATCATTCATGATGACACGAGGTCCTACAAAAAAGTGCACAGGTAAATTAAATAAAAACTTGATAAAAACCGTGGTTTTATGATCCTAGCTAAAAAATGTAATTATAAGTATTGAATGCTTCTTTTTGTAACTTCATGGGTTGTAAAAGCGTTGACCGTGCCCACATTTTTAGAATGAAGCGCTTCCGCGATTCATACAAAATGTACTTCAGTCAACGCATTTACACCCCAATAAAGTTACAAAAAGAAGTATTCAATTCTTAAATGAAAACAAAATCATGTATCTAAGACTAAAATATCAATCAGTACACATCTAAAATCCAATGGAATTACCTTAGCTGTATTTGGCAAAAATTTTAGGAATTTTTGGTCCTCAATGCTATTCAACTTCGTACTTTATTTGGCCTATTTTACTTTTTTTGATTCGAGCGTCACTGATGAGTCTTTTGTAGACGAAACGCGCGTCTGACGCAAATACAAAATTTCAATCCTGGTATCTAAGATGAGTTTATTTAGTTTAAAGACGTCATTAACAGTCAGAGAAAAACATGACCTTGTGCAATGATAAACTATAAGTATCGACAGATTGAAGAACCGTGAAAGTACGTATGTGTAATAGTTAGTATGGTTTTAATTTATTGATATTAAAATCACTATTTACACAAATAAAAACAATATTTAAGATTTAATTACAGTGTTGAATAGGTAACCTTTAGAATAATTTATATAAAGGATTGATAAGTTTACCCGGATCGTATCTAAATTTTTGGGCTCGGTTTACAACATCACCCTAAAATTTAGGATGTGCTTTTCCGATTAAAATAAGTTTACAAGGTATAGCCAAACTTGCAGACCAAGTGTTTGTGTCTAGTGTTTATTTCTAATAAAAACTTTGAACACGTTAACATAACTCATATGGTTTCTTAGTTTAAGTGTAGAAAAATGACAAATATTCGTCTGATTCTTGCAACCAAATGTTTCATTCATATTACTTAATTTTGTCAAGGAGTTAAATACAAAAAATCGTTAACAGAAATCACCAACATTGTTGGACAAATTAACAACCTGCATGAACCACCAACACTGAAAAGATAAAAAAAAAGACACGTTCAAACAAAGACATACAACAAACGAACAACACATGTTCCAGATAGTCTCACTTGATAAGTTCAAAACAATTTCTGAAAAAAAACTGACAGTCGTTTTCAAAGTTTGATGGGTTTGAACTTTTGATTTTGGCATTTGATTGGGGACCTTCTGCTTTGAATTTTCCTTGGATTTCGGTATTTTTGTTGTTTTACGTTTTAATGTTACATAATTAAACATTTTTTTTTTCAACTTGTTGTTTGCTGAACTAAATTCGCCCGGTTTTGCCCTTTCGTGTCTATATCATCAATATTGAAGGTTTTAGTTGTAAATCTTATTTTTTTTTGTTGTATTCGTGTGTTATGGTAAATATTATTAATCACCCGGTTCATTAATTAGATTTTAGTTTGGGTCAACTAAATTTATACGATATATTTGGTTTACAGTTTGATTTAGAAGAAACACCGACATAGCTAGATAATACTATTAATTATCTTACTACTACCACATTTTATATTAATTAGTATTGTAATTTTCATTGTTATTGATAAATGTTATATGAGTATTATAAACCAAATCATGAATTCTATCCTATTTTGGGGAAAATTTCAGAAATTCAAATGTGACGTCACCTTTTTTTTTAGCGTTGATCTCTTTCGCTTACTCGGCTGTGAATTTTTATGTGCTGGTTTATGTTGTTTTATGTATCCGTTTTTATTCTGTAGTTAGTCACCACTTCGGTGTTATCATGTATATCTATTATATAGTCATTTTTATAAATTTACTGTTTACAAAAGTATGAATCATTCTAAATACTAAGGATTTTCTTATCCTAGACATATAACCTTAGCCGTATTTAGCACAACTTTTTGGAACTTTTGGTCCTCAATGCTCTTCAACTTTGTACTTATTTTGGCTTTCGTACTTTTTTTTATCTGAGCGTCATTGGTTAGTCTTGTGTGGACGAAACGCGCGTCTTGCGTATTA